CTTCTAAAATGGTCTGAAAAACATTAAATACAGCAAGAGATCTCTAACCAGCAACAAGTTTGTATCACAAGGCTGCAGAAAGGAGACTGCTGACAAACCCACATTGGGCTTTTACTGGACCTTACCTTAAGTGTTGTAGTGTTCTCATCATCCGACCACTGTTCAAAATAAGAACAAACCAAAGGTTACCACTTTCCTGAGCCATCCTTTATAATCTGTGAGAACTTCAGAATTCATGCAGCCTCTTACAACATGTAGATCAAATCATTGCCCCAGATAGCATAACATCACCATCCTGCAATTATTTTGGCTGTAAAGTAAGACAGGAAAAACACTGTATATTCAGCAGAAGTATTGCTCTAAAGTATTGATAAAAAGATACCTGTATATATTTCAAATGTGATTTATATCAGAAAGATGGACATTACACAACTCAGTCTTCCCTATCGACAGCTTGTCTCCAACTCTAGCACTTCCATCCTTAGACCCATTATCCATTGGTTTCACTTTTATTTCTTTTCCATCTCCTTGTCTTCCATCTTCTGTCACCTTGTACTTACAACATTTTTCAGTGTTTCCCTTCTAGAATGACCTTCTGAGTTATTATGGCCTCAGAAACTTTTATTGCTTCTTGAAGTAACCACTCCAAATGCACTCCTAATTTTCTGACCTCATGATAATTATTTAAAAACTTCTGTGAAGGCATAGATATTTTAAACTTTCTCTGACTTCATGGCAACTACCTCATGATAATTATTTCTGTGAAGGACTCTCTGCACCTATAAATCATGCAGAAGTTCTACATTAATATTTTTCTCAAGAGACTTGACATTCATTTGCATTTTACACTGACCTGTATCTCCTCTGCATCATCACTTCCCTCCTGAGCATGACTTGGCGGATCTTCTCTGAAACAAAAAATTAACAGGAAAAAAATTAAGCACTGGAGTTTGACTTGACCATGGCCATTGCATCTACACAGCATTTTCAGCTCTTGATGTCAACATGTTTTCATAAGAAGATTAAACCTCAAAACCCTGCCAGACTAAAATCAGAGAAGCCAGTGTTGAAAACTGAAGACAGATAGCTGGCATTAGGCCTAGGTCCTACCCTGAACACTTTGCTTCTTTTAAATTAGCAGATAAGTTCTTGCTCTAAAACACCATAACTGAAGCTTTTCAATACCCTGTTAATGATTATTTTCCAACTTACTGTACTCTGATGCATACACAAATTGAACTTTTTTTTTTTTTTTTAAAGTAAGTTATATTTAAATTATGCTTTGCCTCCATACTCCCCTTCCAAGCAAAAATTCATAAACCTTGAGTTTCAAATGTTGACCTAAGAATTTCTGGCTCTGAAAAGAAAATGTCCTCACACTCAGCCTACAGACAAAAGAAGATCCCATTGAGAGTGGAGAGTGTAGTAAACAGGGTAAGGTCATATGTACATCCCTGCCAAAAGTAAATTCTTAGACAACCTGAGTCTCTGCAGTCCCTCAATGCACTTTCATAGGGATTAAATCATCAATCCAGTTTTTGAGATCTACAGGCCAGGTAGGGGTTCACTGAAAGTCACAAGTAATCTTGGCCTTGCCTGCAAGATAGCATTCACTTATAGCTAAGAAAATTCAACTCAAAGAAAATATAGTTTCTAAAAGGAATTTTAACTGCAAACATCTTAAAAATGTAATTTAAGTCAATCATACAGCTGTCCATTACACCATTGAATACAGTAAAATTGTAGAACACAGGTGTTAAGGCAAACCCTCAATCTCAGCTTTTCTGAAGGCTTATTAAAATAAACAGCTGCTGCTCAATAAATTCCACAATTCTGCAGAAGGAGGTGACAATACAACTTCTGATCCAAAATTATTTAATAAACAATTCTAATTTTCTGGATATGCTTTAATAAGAAAAATAATTTAGAAACTAAAAATTAAACCCTTTTATCTTTACAAGGCATTTAAAGATCTTTAATTTTTATATAAATTGATACCTGATAAATCAGACCAAACTCTCTTTCACTCACAGCCTCACTGGTTGCTCTGCAAGGGGCAAACTACCAGTTAAAGGATCATGGAGTGAGGACTAATTCCTGAGTTTGATCATTAACAAGATGCATGCAGCAACCATTCCACAAGGAAACCACACAGTGAGATCCTATGCAGAAACAAAGAGCAAGGCCTTTGCTCTTACCAGCTGTTGCTGCTATCTATCCACTTCATTCTTCTCCATCCAAAATCCTGGCATGCGTGTACATACAGGACATTGAGCTTTGTCATACGTATGGATTATCCATATGCAAATGATTATATAAAATGTTACTGCTTATTGTGTTTGTATATAGCTTATTTTATTGAGAATTAAGCTCAAGTAATGTCACTTCATCCTTGGATTGGCATGGGACAGGTCAAGCCTGTGAAATGGAGCCAGACAGATCCAAAGAACCAACTGCAAATCAGCAGCTGAGCATCCCAGATTGGTGCACTCCCCAAAGAAAGGTGGAAAAAAATGTGGAAGGATTGTGTCCACTTTGTCAAGAATGAATTGTAGTTCATGGATTTTAGGATCTGTTTCAGGCACCAGCAAATCCAGCTGTACTAACAACAGTCAGCCCATTCACATGCTCACACAGTGTGAGGTTTACTGCAGTCACACTAGTCAAATTTAAAAACTTACTATGCTCAATACAATATGTATACATATTATACATGTATATATAAAATGGTGCTGTGAATATGAAATGGCATTAATACTTGGAAGCTGGGGAGAAAACACACTTTACCTTCCAGAAACCACCAGTGTTCCATCATCCAGCAAATATTCTTTCACATTCTCTGGCAGGGGAAGTATAACACTGGAAGAAACATGAAAATCCCTTTAATACCTTATTATTACCTGTTATAATAAAATCCTAGTGGAATAAAAGAATTTGTTTTTTTCATAGCACATACCTCAACAACACTGTTTTATCCTCTAACATTATGGAAGAAAATTCTCTTTCGCCCATCTTATCCCGCACCCAAAAAAGCAATGACCATTTTCTCTCCAGGGAAGCATAGGACAAAAATTTTAGATTATATACACAAAAATGCCCCACTCCTTCAAAGCTCTAAGAAATTCCAAGTAAAATTTTGTGCAGCTTGTGAGGAGACAACATGTTGCTCAGACTAAAGATTTGCCTTCTGAAATCCAAATCAAAATTTGCCTATGCCATCCTCATGTTCCAAAAATGCAGGGCTATCACTAAACTTACCAAAAATAAGCCTGTGTTAAACACTAAGAAAGATAAATGATCAAATGCTTTGATTACTAAAAGCGTGATGTCAGCACTTTTTGATCCAACAGGGCAGCTATCTTGATTTTCCTGAACTACTGGTAGTTCTTGTAACTACATCATTACCTGCAGCAGCTCGTTACAAACTGCAGAATTTCCTACAACTTCCAGAAATACAAAGAAACACCAAGTTGGCCACTTGGGTTGGATCTATTCAGTCACAGTTTAAGTAGGCAAGTAGGAACAGCAGTATGGATAGCAGGATGTGGATAATAGGAACAGCATAGATATCTTCTGATGCTCAGCATGGAGTCCCACCAGGAGAGCAGGGAACACAGAGGTACTTGGCCTGTCCCAGGGCTTCCCAAAACACTCCCTTGGCATGTAGTCCCAGCTGCTGGGACTGCCCAATCAATCCTCCACCACCTCCTCCCCAGCTTTGTCCCACAAAGGTCCCCTCTATCTCTCCCAACCCTGCCCAAACACAAGTTCATTTTCACCCCAGCCCCACAGAATCCCAGCACTGGTCTGGTTGGAAGGGTCCACAGTGGCTCATCTGCTCCGACCTCCCTGCTCAAGCAGGGCCATCCCACAGCACATGGCACAGGGCTGTGTCCAGACAGTTCTGGAATATCTCCAGTGAGGGAGACTCCACAGCCTCCCTGGACAATCTGTTCCAGTGCTCAGTCACTGCACAGGACTGAAGATCTTCCTCATGTTCAGGTGGAAGATCCCGGGCATCAGTTTCTGTCCACTGCCTTCTATTGCTGAGCACCACCAAGCAGAGCCTGGCCCATCCTTTGGCTCCTCCTCTTAGGTATTTTCACGCATTAATGAAGACCCCTCTCAGTCATCTCTTTTTCCTTCCAGTACCTGAAGGGAACTTGCAGGAAAATGGAGCAAGATTATTTACAAGAGCTTGTAGTGACAGCACATGGGGTAATGAGTTCAAATTGAGAAAGTCTGCTTAGACAGATATTAGGAAGAAATTCTTTCTTGTGAGGATGGTGAGGCCCTAACACAGGTTGCCCAGAGAAGCTGTGGCTGCCCCATCCTTGGAGGTGCCCAAGGCCAGTTGGAAGGATCTTGGAGCAACCTGGTCTAGAAGAAGGTGTGTGTTACCCGTGGCAAGGGACTGGAACCAGATGATCTTTAAGGTACCTCCTAACCCAAACCATTCTGTAATTCTCGAGGCTGGACAGGCCCAGCTCCCTCAGCTTTTCCAGTCCCTTAATCATGCTCATAGCCCTGCACTAGATCCGTTTCAGGAGCTCCATGTCCCTCCTGCTCTGAGGAGCCCAGAACCGGACACAGCACTCCAGGTGAGCCTGACCAGGGCTGAGGGGAGCGGCAGGATACTTTCCCTCGCCCCACACTCCTCCCGCCCGCTCCCAGCCGGCCGCACACTCCTCCTCACCCCGCACCGCCTCTCCCAGCCCCCGCCGCCCTCAGCGCCCACACCTGCGGATAGTGACGGCCTTGAAGAGCGGGTACCACACGGAGAACTGGCAGTGCGCCACCTGCTCCTTCTTCATCCTCCTCTTCCTCCNCTCCGGGCGCCGCCCGGCGCCATCGCCGGCGCACAGGGCCCGGCTCCGCCCCCGCCGCCTCAGCGCTGCCCGGTGCCGGCCCCGCTCGGCGGCCGCGCCCCGGAGCGGCCCGCACGCTGCCTTCGCTCTGCCCTGCCCCGAGCCAAGGAATAGCTGAGTAACGTGTTTTCCTTTTAGGTTCTGCTGTCCTCCCTGTGCCTGCGTGTACCCTGCATGGAGCTGTTTCATAGTCTCATAGGATGTTAAGGGGTTGGAAGGGACCTAAAAGATTATCCAGGTCCAATCACCCCCTGCCGTAGGTAGGGACACCTCCCATGAGACCGGGTTGCTCAAGGCTTTATCCAACCTGGCAACCACAGCTCCCAGGGCAATTCGTTCCAGTGTCTCACCACCCTCACACTAAAGGATTACTTCCTAATATCTCACCTAAATTTCCCCTCTTTCAATTTGTAACCATTACTCCTTGTTCTGTCGCTACAGTTCTTATGAATAGGCCACCTCCAGCTTCCCTTTAGCTCCCTCAGCTACTAGAAGGTGCTCTGAGGTCTCCACACAACCTTCTCCAATTTTGTCAGGCTGTCTTTGTAGGGCAGGTGTTCCAATCCCCTTCCCAACTTCGTGGCCTCCTCTGGACTTGCTCCAACAGTTCCGTGTCGTTGTTGTGCTGGGGACACAGAACTGCACAGTGCTCCAGGTGGGCTCTCACAAGGACAGGGGAAAGGAGCAGAATCTTTGGATGTAGCCCAGGACACCTTTGGCTTTCTGGGCTGTGAGCACACATTGTCAGTTCTTTTTGTTTTTTGTCAACCACTCTTTCACTTTGTTCAGTCCCAACTCAAGCTTTAACAGAGTAGTATGGGGGGTTTTTAAGCCCCACGGTTCAGTTGCTGTGCCTGTGCCTGTGTGTCCCCTGCATGGTGTTGTTTCCATGCGATGTTTCCTCCTGTGCTCTCACATCTGCAGTTTGGGGATGTCTCTCTCCCAGCTGTGTGACACCTCAGCTGTTGGGAAGTTTGATAACACCATGGAACTGCCTCTAACCCTCTTCTGCTTGTGCGAGATAATCCTTGTTTGCTGTTGCTTGTCCGTGTTTTACTTGGCACTCAGTGGGTCATCCATGCTTCCAGATATCATGATAAAATTTGAACATTCTCCCCTACTTTTCTCCCTCCCCTCAACTTAATTGCAACTTAATTGATTTTGTTTCTAGAATCATAGCACAAAAGTGCAAGTAACGACTTTAAAGTGCCATAGGAGTTTTTAATGATGTTTATCTTCAGCTGAGGTATCTCAGGGTGCTGTTAGTTTAATCGTGTATAAAATGTTGCTAGTGTGTCTTTTGTACATTCTTTATAAGAAAATTTGTATTTTGTTTGACCTTGACCTTCAGTTTGCCATGGGACCTCTTCCCATTGCTGAGCTTCCATTAAATCTAGTTGGTCTCAGCTGGAATGTGTATTTGGATCAAAGAATGTCTTCTGCAAAGTGATTTAGGAAAGCTACTCCGTCTGTCTAAGTATTAATATTGAAGTATAGTTCTGGTATCTTGACTTCTCTCTCTGTAGTTCTGGTACCTTCTGTCTTGAACTGATTCAGAGACCTTGGTTGGCTTAAGATTTTAACTGCTGGGAAGGATTTTGGAAACTGTAGAATGGCTGGATGCTGCCTTGAAAGGAAGCCACTCAATAAGGGAATAAGCAATAGGAATAATGTTACATGTTTTATAAATGGCATGGCTTTTTCACAACAGCATTTGACCCCAGTTTGAAATAAATGGAAGGAGTAGCATGATTTGCCAGCAGTAGTCTGGGCACAAAAACTACCAGACAAAGTGGAAAACATTTATTTTTCTGCATAAGTGATAGTTTGAGTGCTGTTGATTCATATTAAGGCAGTTGATAAATGTGGGTACTTTGACATATTCTTAAGATTGCATTTATAACTATTAAAAATCTGTATTCTTAGAGCTCACGTAATCCTAAGTCAGGTAGCCAGGTTCCCAGGCTGCTGTATCAGCTGCATTGAATTTTTAACTCAAGTGAACTCATATTTATAGGCAGAGGGAATTTTATGACAGAGAAGAACTGCAAGACAAGGCACGATCTGAAAGCTAAATAGGCCTTTAGAAACCTCACATTTAACACATTTTAGTGTTAAATTTAATTTTCAGTTGCAGCTAATTTTGTTTATGAACAAGAGATGTTGCCATCCTTGACAGCATGACTAATGTGAGATGCCAGAATTGCAGCCTTCATTTAACCAAACAGTATTTCAGCTTTCTAACAGCAGAAATTCTCACTTCTATACCGCCAACTGAATCTGGACAAAAATACTGTTTTGGTGGAGCTTTTAAAAATGTCACTATATGTAGAGTTACTGCACCCACTTGTGGAGGAGACCCAAACTACAGAAGTTGGGACAGATCAGCATTCCCTTCTCTCTGAGATGTTTACCCATTTTAGGTTTTAGTGATAATTCAAACCACTGAAACTGTATTTTTGTTGTTGTTTTAAGTAGCAAGTCACTGCTGAATCTCTCAGGAGAGAGCCAGCTGTTTTGAAAACAGGTTCTACTATGAGATGAGGTTCTCGTATTTTTTTTCATGATACAGCTGTGGTAACAGTTGATACAGTGATATTTGTGCAGAAGGATCAGTGTGATCAATGGAACAGGATTTCCTGTGAGGGGAGAGTAAAAGAGGAAGACTTAGCCCAATCCAAAGACAACTTTAACAAGGCTATGATTCAGTCTCTACTCCTTTGATAGATTTATATTGAAAATGTGAAAGGCTATAGTTCTTTCCAGTGTAGGAGGTGAATTTGCTGTAGCTGGGTATGTAAGGTTTTTGTGTTTTTAAAGACATCACACAGAGCCTCCTTTGACTGTTTCTCCTGGGCTGTGCCTCTTTTGCATATGTTTGCTGGAAAGCTTGATCTTGTATTTGAGAGTCACAGCATGAGACCATGGCCATTGGCCAGCTAAAACTCTTCAGTTCTAAGGGAAGGAAGTTCCAAACATTGGAACAGCTGACTGAACTGAAGTGGATAGAAACTGGAACATAAGCAACTGAACAGTTTTCCATGCAAATAGTGGTGAGGTAGAAAACAAAACTATGTGGTTTTGAAAAGTAGCTTCATTGCTTTAAGAGAATATTATAGAACATATTTTTTAAGGAACAGAATTTGGTTTAACAAGTCAGGTTTTCTTTTCAAGACTTATGGTACATAAAACCAATCTGCACATTTGACCTTTGACCTACTTCATCCAAAAACACTTTCTTAAGACTTAAGAAAGAGCCTGCCATGTGTACAGACCAAGGAAATGGTTTCATGTACTTCAGTTTTACTTGTGCTGGCTAAATTTGGGTGTGACAGAGAAGGTTTTCATGCACTTTGGTACCGTTCATTGGGGGAGACCACACAGGTTATTAATCCATAGCTGAAGTCCTGGAAAGATTCTGATTTACTTTGTGGGAAGTTTATTACCATCAATGCTATGGATGATTAAGATCTTTAAGATAGCTCATCTCATCTCTCCTGCTGTTTAACCTGATTTGTTTCTTTTCACTGGCTTTTTCTTATGATTCATGATGATTTTCAGGGCTTCAGTATTAAGTTAATATCAGAGAGGGTTCCCTGGTAGAAGCTTCTATACTGAAAGTGCCCTGTAGTCCCACAGTGACGCAGGGTCAGTCTCTAATACATGTGTTTTGTCTGCTGTCTTTACGCTGGAACTGGATGGAGGGCGTGTATAATCTCACTTTCCTGGGGATGCAGGCTGAGGCATTGAGCTGCAGGTGCAAAGCCTTGCTTTGGGCATTGTTTAATGAAAATGCTGTCTTTTGCATGGTGTTGGGCACATCATTCCCAGTAAGAGACTGACATGCCATGGTCACACCAGCCCCACGTGCTGCACAGACTTGCAACACACATGTAGTTTTTTGACCTTGATTTTTAGTGGAAGGATTAAGTCATTTACGTGTTTATTTGTGATGTAAGGTGGAGGTAGGTTCTAGTTCTGATTTTTAATAGCAGACAGTTTTTACCACTGAAGTCCTCTTGGTATAAGGGTTCTTTGTACTTTCACAGTGGAGTGCACAGTCCTGTTGACCATACACTGCTGACAGAGCATTTCACCTGGATCAGAATGAAGCAATTTGAAATGGATCAATTGTCTGTATGTGTGTCTGACACTTGAATAGTTAAGAAAAGTATCTTCAGCCAGTAGAGCTACCTGACAGCTGATAGGACTATTCAATTTATGTAAGTCAGGGATTTGATCCAAATGTACATTTCTCCTTTGAATTATTTGACTCCGAAATTACTGGGTGGAGCTGAAAACATGAATTGAACTTGCAATCACACGTCCCTGACTTTCTCCAACAAGCTATATTTGTTAATTTACAGTGCAGAAATGAACCTTTTAACTTTACGCTGAAAGCAAATATTGATTTTGTTTCATATATATCTGGACTTTGCACAGGAGGGGAAAAACCTGACATTCCTGAAAATGGCGGCTGAGACATCCACAGAAGTTACAAAAACAGCTAAACAATTCGTCCTTAAGGAAGAGGTACAGCATGCTTGGGTTTGACACTTTTTGTTGTTAAATAACCATTATTTTTGAGTGCAGAGTACAAATGCTAGAGAGGCTGTATGTTCATAAAAACCTATTCAATAGACAAAACACTTCTTCCTGATTTACAGAGAGTTTAAAAGATGTGACATTCCTCTTTATTGAAAGAATTATACAAATTATCAATGAGAGATAAATCTACAGTGTTGCATTATTTTAAGCTGCTTCTCTTTTTATATTTTGCATCTGTTTCTTGTATTGTCTCCTCAGGAGGTTTTTCAATGTACAGAAATAATGCTGGTATCTCAGAGAGACTTTACAAATTGCTGGGTTATGAAACTCAGCAACACTTTTCTCTTTCAAACAGTTTTCTGTTTCTTTAAGGTGGTGAACCACCAAGGGTTGCTTTAACATTTAGGATTGTACCATGTATTGTGTTTCCTGAAAGGATTTGAGTTTAGATAATTGCTGTTTCAAAGACATCAGTAAGGAAGTAGTAAGAATACTTTCAGTCCTAGGAAAGGTTTCTGGAGGTACTTTATTCTTATTAGAAGCACTTTCACTCTAAACTTCCTATATTTGTTTCTGTTCCCTTTCAAGCGAACTCTTAAAAGTTAATTGTTGGTGTTAAGGAAGGTTTGGCAGTATCCTGCTCTTGTTATAACTCAAAGGTGGTTTCTTTTATTTGTTCTACATGGACTGAACATGCTTGTGTAATTTCTTCAGGTTTCAAGCCACAAGGAGAGAAGAGATTTGTACGAGATTATGTCTTTTCTCTTGGACATTTTTTAAATACGAATATTTCACAAGCATAAAGGATTTAATTTTTGTAATCTTTTTGGGTTTTCTATCAAGAGCTCGGTTTCTTGCAGGCAGCATTTTCATTTTATCCTCTTTTGGTTTGGTTTTGTATAGGTTTCTCATGCTTTTCTTTGTTTGGTTTGTTGTTTGCGTTTTTTTGGTAAAGTTTCTTGCTTACTCTCTTTTAAAACAATGTTCTCTTTGGAATCACTGGAAATTTATAATTAGATCTTATATATTTTAAGCTATTTACTTTTTTCAATCATCTTGTGGGCTTAATACAGAGAAGTGTTTACTCTCTTCCAGTGGCTCTTATATCAGAAGTGGTTCTGTAACTGTGCACTAACAGTGTGGCCTGATGCTGGAATATCTTCCATGAAAGTGGGAGCTGATCTTACTTCATTCTTCCTTTTTCTGGGAAGGCACATTCAGGCTGTTAAAAGCAGATGTTTTTTGCCCATCAAAGTAATAGACAAATAACTCATTTTAAAACAAGTTACAGTAAAAGAAGCAAACTGCTAGGCTAATATCTAGGGGTTTTTGTCTTTTAAGTGAATTACATAGAAGATGAGGAAACATCATAGGGAAAATAAACTCATTTAGCCCAGAAAAAACATTTGGTCATAGTGTTAATGCCAGACACTCGCTCAGCAGCTCACAGAATCCTAAAGGGGAAGGTGTGTCACTCACAACTGCAGGAAACAGCAGTTACACAAGGCCACAGTCTGGAATCAGGGCAAGAAAACTTTCAGGGCAGTTTGGTTTTCAGTCTTGCATGCTCAGCTTTTGGGCTGTGCTCTCTGCTAAGGGAGTACTCGTGGGCACCAGTGCAGCTAAAGTCTGTGCAACCCAGAGACCCTTTTGCAGCTGATATATTACCCTTGCAAAATCCTACTAAAAATGAGGACTTTGCAGGACATAAAATACCACTGAATTAATCAAAATTTAGTTATAAAACTCATGTTAAGAAAAGCTAGTGTCTTTGGGTTATTTTTTTTTTTCTGTATTAGCAACAGGAATGCTGTTGCACATTCCTGCATGTGTTATGACGCTGAAATTTGTCTTCAAAAGAACCTAAAAATAGTTATGTTGTTTCTCCCAATTCTTTAGGATTCATTTAATAATGTATTTAAAAAAGAATTCTTTATTTTAGGTAATCGTAGAAAGACAATGGTTGAAGCTTGCAGAAACAACTTACACTGATCCATTTGGGAAAACCAGGTAAATGCCCCTCTGGTATTCCAGATTCCCAATTGTACAAACTGGCCACAGGCTAGAGAGCATGAGCATTACAAGCACACCACTCCACACAAGATGAGAGCTATTCAATTGTGAGGTTCCTTCAGAGTTCCTGCTGCTCAGAAGAGAATCTTACTCCAGCAGATGTGCAAGCACTGAGATTGAATTTGGCTCCTAAATCCTCTTGGGCACACTGAACCTGGATTATGTAGCATTTCCAGTTCTTTGGAAAGATGCTACACAGAAGCAAGTTCTAGCTGTGCAACTACTCTGTGGCCATCAGAGAGTCCATCCTGTGGCTTTTCTGGTTCTTCATTATGGGCTCCTTTTTCCCTGCTGGTAGTGCTGGTTCTTGCATATTATTGACAAATTAATCTTCTCTTGTATGTTATCATTTCTCAAATGATAAGTACTCTTAAAGAGTACTTATGTACTCTTTTTGTATTTATGTAGGTGTTGCAACATGGCTTTAGTTCCCTCTTGCTTTCTCTAGTGCCTCCCATTTCATCAGTAGAGTATCCTCTTAAAATTAGCAAGATTGGATCTTTTGTGTAACTAAACTATTTTCTCTCTCCCTCCTTAAGTAGGCAAAAGAAAACCTTGCTATAGACATTTTATAGTGCCCATGTATGACAGGGCCTGCTTGTGTCCTGCTGCTTCTTACAAGACCTCAGTGTGTGATGGTACATTTTGCCTTAAATGAAAGTAGTAAGGGTAGAACATGATTTATGTATTCATTTGTTCTTTTCTCTGTTTAAATAGAACTTGGGAAACTGTAAAGCGTACTGGCAACAAAAAGGGAGTTACAGCTGATGGTAAGAATTGGTGGCTTTTCCTGTTTGCATTTTTTTCCTGTGAAAATCCTTTTGATAAGCTGACAATGCAGATTCTGAGCTGATCTGTTTCTGAATTAATGAGGATGTGGAACAGGTGGCTTGGCAGAGCTGGCTATACCCCTAAGCTGGTGAAATGCTAGCTTAAGTGCTGAAGAATCAGAACCTTACTGGTGGGAGTGCTTTCCCAAGATCATGGTGTTCACTTTAAAATGATGGAGCACTTCCAAAGATATCAGGGGTGCCCTGAGACAGAGTAGCTCACAAACTGGTGATTGGGTCTGGTATTAGGGGCCAGGGGGCTCTTTGGGATGTGATTTAGACATGAAGAGTGTAGTAAAGAGTTCCCTACACAGGCTTTTGAGCAATTTCTGTAGGCAGGAGAGCCCTTCCCTGAGGCTCAGTCTTGCTTGGTATGTGTGCCTCTGGCTTGCTGGGGAGCTTTGAAGATCTCTAACCAAGCATGATATAAAGAGCTTAAATTTGTTCAGGATTCTGGAGCAAGCATCTAAACATTTAATGCTTAGAGTAGCAGTGTGTGGGTTCCTTTCCAGATCTGCCACTAAAAGTCTCACTTTCTGCTACACTCACATTCCATGTCCTTGTGTCTCCCATGACTGTGGTAGGTGTGGCAGTGATAGCAGTGCTACAGAGAACCCTGCACTATGACTGCATTGTCCTGGTGAAACAGTTCAGGCCCCCAATCAATGGCTACTGCTTGGAATTTCCTGCAGGTAAAGTGACTGAAACATTGGGATGAGTCACAAATGGTTCCGTGTGTTTAGATGTGCTTAGAGTGTCAATCTTTATGTATTTTATAGGCTATGTATTTTATATGTTAGACTTGATCTCCAAGGTCGTTTCCAACTTAGTTGATTCTGTGAACTTAATGAAGCTCTAACTGGGAAACTGTGCCGAGCTCCATGGGCTATTCCAAAATAGGAATGTTGGATAATGGAAAAAACAAAATAAGCTTGTTTTAGCAGATTGGAGAAAATTCCCTCTGCTTCTCCTTTCTCTAACAGTCAAAGCATTTGGTTTCTTTCCCTCATGAAAATATTAACTCCATTTTTGGGGAAGGCAGCATGATTCTGTAGATAATTGGTTAAGGATGTGGGCAGCAGCATAATGAATCCAGGGACTGGAATCCTTCCTAACACTTATCCCTCTGTAAGGACAGAGTAGTAAGGGTGTTTCCCCACTTCCATAAAGCTTGATTAGATCTCAGGATGGATATTGCAGTTAAGTGGGAAGTTATTAATTGTTTTTGTGTATTATGTATCTCCCAGGCCTCATTGAGGAAAACGAGTCAGCAGAAAATGCTGCGCTTCGAGAGCTGAAGGAAGAAACTGGGTACAAGGGGGAAGTCATTGAATGTACTCCAGGTCTTTGCTTTTTTTTTTTTTTTCCCCCACCAAAGATAATTCTGTCTTGATGGCTACTCTAAATGTCTGAAATGCTCTAAGCCAAAAGGAAAATACAAGCAGCAAAGCCTATGCAGATTGCATATGCTTATCTATGCAGGGTAGCATCTCATATCTGTAAAAGTGAAACTTTGGTCCTTGATGTGAATCAGTTGCTGAACTTCTGTCTGAAGTAAGTTTGATGTCTGTAGGGAGGAAATTGCTATAAATTAAGATCTTTTACACAAAACCTTATTCAATTATTCTAGCTGTGATTTTGCATTTTAGTGTAAAGGTCTAAATTGCTGGACTTCTATGAACTTAGAAAAAAAGAGCTGCATGATGCAGAGGTCACCCTGCTGTCAGCCGTGGGGAGGTGACTCAGATCAGGTTCTCCAGCTGGAAAGAAGAAAGGAGAGTAATTGGAGTAAATTCAGAGATCCTTTGGAACATGATTGTTCCAATCCTATGCTTCCTACATAAGATAAAGTGAAGGCAAAATGAGGATCATAAATCAAACTTGAGAAGGTAGGTGAGGCAACTTAGGATTTCGAGGAAATGTCATTGCAGTTGAGTCTTGTCTTATTGGGTACAGCTGCATGCTGGGGATTGGAAGAGGTTGGAGACAGGTGATGGCAAAAATAGATTCCAACAGACTAAGGAAGTCAATAAGGGATAGTTTACAGTAAATCTTTAATCTATGGAATGAAAAGTAAATTTGGCTGGGAAAACAAGTCTTGCCAGGGATCTGTAAAAGAGCTGAGAGTTACAGAAGCATTACTTCCAAGAATATGTGAAGATAAAGTTTTTGCTATTCTTACAGCACAAATGTCTGCCAAATATATACTTTCCTCTTGTATCAGATACATTTCTGTGAAAGCTTTTGTTAAAATGTCAAGGCGCCTGACTCCTGCTCTGAAAAATGAACCTCTCCATGTGCTTGTTGGCAGCTCTGTGCTTGGACCCAGGAATGTCAAACAGCACAACACACATCGTGAGCGTCATCATTAATGGAGATGAGGCTGAGAACACAAGACCTAAGCAAAACCTTGGTGAGTTTTGTACCATTTACTTGAAAATTTTGAGAACATAGCAAAACAGTGGGTTTAAAACAATTAACCCCACCACTGTATCTCTTCTGTCCCAGCTGATTTGAATACTGCACATTCTTCCAATCACAGCCTGCAGTCTAGATGAGCAGAGTGACTCTGCTGAATTCACTGGGGAAGCCCAGATGTGAAGTGTCAGCTGTTGGCACACTCAGAACAAAACTTTTTGGTGCCAAATTTCAGTGAGGACCAACTTGTGAACCTAGACACTGCTCTCAGTTGTAGCTTCAATCTGAAAGTAACTGCAGTGTCACTCACAGCCAGTCAGCCATCAAATGCTTTTTAAGTGTAAATTCTAGTGCATTTCAACCCCTTAACTCACTACTTTTTTCACTTGCAGATGATGGAGGTACGTAATGTGACTGTGATCTCACTGGCAATAAGGTCAACCATGATCCTTTGTATGGCAAGTTTTACTTAGAAAAAGTCAGTTAAAACTGGTTTTTATTTGTGCTTGAGTAATCTCCTGACCCTAATCAAATGTGCCTGAGGTTGAATTTGGCCTAGATGCAAATTCCTGGGCATTATTGCGTCAATTGTCTTTCCCAGTATTGTACCTATAGGACCAGTATTTCAGGAAATACAAATTACTGACCCCCCAAAAGTTGTAGGTCAAGCCCTAAAGACGTGTAATTCAGAGAGACAGTGGAGGGGTAAGCCAGCATAAATTCATCTTGAACAAACCCTTTGACATGGTTTGGTCTTGAAATGCATCTCTAATCCATTCCTGTACCAGGAGAAGCCAAACAAGTTTTCTTCAACAGTGTATTTTTTTTTTGCGATTCTTATGCTTCATAACTATCATTTTTCCCAACTGTTTTTTCAGCTCCTTTCTGCCAACCATGTTTTTTAGTGAGCCTAGTCACTGCCTTCCCCCATTTAATTGACCTTTTTTGATATATGAAACCTCACAACTTTTGGATGGTGATCAGCATTCAGAAAGTCAGTTTTTTTCCCCCTTCTAAATTACAAGAAACAGAAAACAGAGGTAAATTTCTCTACAGTTCACTAATTTAAGGATGTGTAAACCTTTTTCTTCTCTCCTAGAATTTGTGGAAGTTGTTTCACTTCCAAAGAATGACCTACTGCAAAGAATTGATGGTAAGAGCTTTCTGACACATTAAATGCACTAACATGAGCTTCAAGAATCCCTTCTTTTCTCGGAGTTTCTCATGTCATTTCTCACCCTAGAATACTGTATGTTAAGCAAAAAGCCATGAGAGACCTGGCCAGATACGAGACTTAGTAAAAGCAGGAGGAGTTTGCAGTGTCTGGAATGCTACCTATCTTCATTTTAGCAAGCACTTACATTTCTATAAAGGTGAGGTTTTAACAGCATCTCAATTTTTTTCTTTTATTTTCAGAACTAGTAGCAGAGGAACATCTGGCAGTAGATGCCAGGGTTTATACTTATGCGTTGGCTCTGAAGCGTGCAGCAGAAAAGCCGCTCCAAGTTCCTTTTATGAAGTTCTAGAACTGGGCAATGAGGAATTTAATTTGAAACTGCCCAAGTTGGATGGCTTAGAAGTACAAGTCTTCTTGTAATGAAGGTCCTTTGCTTTACTCGCAGCAAAAAAAAAAAGTGTTTGTAGTAATGATTCTGGTATTTTTATTTGGAATTATGTAACTGACAAGATGCATTTCTTTGAGCTGCTCTATCAAGCCTTGACAGAATATCAATAATAAAAATACTGTTTGATTTTCAGAATGGCTCATTTCTAACTAGATTCCTCTCTGCATTTACAGTTCAGTCTAGGAAAGATGCTTAGGTAACCATGGTTGGTGCTGTAAGACCAAGGTTCCAAAGGAGGCAGAGGCAGAAGAGCGCAGGTCTCTCACAGCACTCTGACAACTCCTGGAGAGGGGAGAGCTCATGGTGGTCTGCAGCTTTTTTATGATGGGCAGCAGAGGGACTGGCACTGATTTCTTCTCTCTAGTGACCAGTGATAGGAGCCAAGGGAATGGCCTGAAGTTGTACCAGGGGCAGTTTAAGTTGGAGATTGGGAAAGGGTTCTTCACCCAGAGGGTGGCTGGGTACTGGACCAGGCTCCTCAGGGAAGTGGCCACAGCACTGAGCCTGACAGTTCAAGCTGTGTTTGGACAACACTCTTGGGGCACATGGTGGGATTCTTGGGATGTCCTGCACAAGGCCAGGAGCTGGACTCGATGAGTCTTGTGGGTCCCTTCCAAATCAAAAATCATAGAATTGTAGAATATCCTATTAAGTAGTAATTTCTCTGAGAGGAATAGGGACAGCAGCACAGGAACACTGTGTGAATACTCTGGTTGAAGTAATTGAAATGACAATTTAAAGAACTTCCTGTTATGATTTAGACATGATGTTTCCTTCTCCCTGCACTAAATAAACTATGCAGAAAGAGACAACTGGTTTCTGTGGTCTAAAATAATGATTATGGCACCACCATCCACCAGTTCAAACCAGAACTGTGCAGGCCTAGCCAGGGGATCCTGCTGAAGGTCACTTATGGGCCCTGAGAGGGCACAGCCTTGCAATTTTCTCTCTCCCGAGGACACCTGTGTGTACCAGGGCTGCACCTTCACTCAATCAAATCACTTCTATAAATAAATAATAAATCTAATAAACCTTCAGTGCATCTGCACACAGTGGGCTGCTACTAATGATGTAAAAAGCCACCACTGCTGAAAGGTCACAATCTGAGAGTTTTAATAAACACACATCAAAAGCAGTCTTGCCTCTGAAATAGAAGAGAATATGTGTGTGTAATTAGGGAGACTTTCTGAAACAGGAAATTGCTTCACAGTTTCTTACCTTCAGAAACAACACAAAGTTACTTTCAAGTTAAGAGTGAGAGAAGACAGAAGAAATGTCACATCAAAGGGAAAAAGTGATTACAGTAGAGCAGAAAAGCTCAATGACTGTAAGGAGAGGAATCTTGAGATTTTTTTTTAATTGTGACTGCTAAATATTAATCAGAATTATATTCTAGAAAGAAAAAAAATAAAGAGGAAAAAGGTGAGCCTTCTAGACCTATCTCCCTATCAAGGCATTGTAGAAATTACCAAAGACTGAATATGAATTACATCTGGCACAGACAAGACACAGGAGAGAGTTTAATTAAATAAGTTTATTGTCTAACGCTTATGTTTGTTACATCGCCGCTGTAAAGTGCGACAAATTTTCAGCAGGAACTCCCCGTTCCCCCTTTTCCCTCCTATGAACTGCTTTAGGAACCAGGCCTCGTTCTTTACACTCACAAAAGCAAAGTGGACATGAAGTTTCAGTGGCACAGTTTTCACAAGTACATGGTTGAACAGAACTGCTGGGCTGGGCCGCCCTGCCAGCGTGACAGCGGCTGCCAGGCTGCCCCACAGCAGGCCTGGGGCACGAACCCGACTGCCCTGGCCACAGCAGATCCACCACAGAACCAGTTCACAGGTGAGATGAGTATCAGCCGCCCGTAAAATGTTTGCTTCCCACCCTCAGAGCTCAGTGAAAGGTGACTGGGTGGAGGCACAGCAAAGGAATAAGGAGTGTTGAGTTCAGTGGTGGGGAAATGTGAGTTAAAAAAGTATAAAAAATTAATGTAAAATACAGATACAAATAAATTTTGTCAGGAATACTGGCATTTAGCCATCTGAACTCAGGTGTCTTTTTCTTCTATTAGGGACAGGGAAATTAATTTAACACTTTACTGCTGTGTGCAAAGACTTTACTGCACTCAAACTGATACATTTTATCATCTCACTGTAGTGTCTGAACAGCAAGGTAGATGAATTGTTTCCAGCATTACAGGCAACACTAGATAATACTTAAACAAGATAATGTAAACTTTATTCTTAAGGCAGCTGGTACTAATGCTGCACACAGGCATCGCTCAATGCCCATTACAGTAATGGGACACGTAGCACTTGAAAACGAGTAAAAAGAAAATAGCATTATTGGACTAAATGATGCATGTTGTCAAAATACTTTCCCTTTCAAAACCATGAAATATTTGGACATCTAGAAAAATAATGCACCTACTCCTCCAACTTCAGCCTGTTCTTTTACAAATATTTCAAAATACTGATAAATAATAGTGACTGCAAGCAGAATGCCAGTGCCAGAGCCAATGGCTCCTAGAAAGTCAGCCAGTACTGAAAGGGCACCGATGCACAAACCACCAAATGCAGCTGCTGTAGGGATGTATCTGTAAGAAAGGAAAAAACAGGAAAGCAAAAGGTAATAAGCAAGGTATCTTTCTTTTATAAACATGGAAGAGATTCAACTCAAAATCCCTCATTATATCACTTAAAAAAGTAAAGACAGTACAGGTTAATCTCTAACTTCTTTTACACAACTAAGAAAGGCAACAGCTGAATGGGAAGAATCTTCCCTTTTGCATTGGAAACAGGTATCAGATTTTTCCAACAGTCTATGCTCTAGTTGACACTTCCTCAGCACTTTTCACCATCCAGCTGGAAGTCAGCATTTCCTTACCTGTTAAGCTCATGAACCATTGATGTATCCCTGTGGCCTCTCATCACCATTTGCTGTTCTTTGAGTTGCTTGGCAACCTGCAAAAAACATTATTTAATGAGACTGCTGCAGTGTTTCACAGTCACTTGATATTTATTGGGATAAACTGATCAGTCAATAGCTGGTCAATTCTAAACCAGAACCACTGGTTTGAAAATGATTTAAGGTAGAACACCTACATCTTTTGCTGATGAGCCAGACACCTCAATCCAAGTCTTGGAGAAGAATGCACAGGATCCCAACATAAATATTATATAAACTATTACATGGACAGGATCCTCAAATATTGCACCCATGGATTCTGGAGGGGACAAGTAGTAGCACAGGCCACCAACAGGGTAAGAGCGAGCAGGGCCACCTCCACTGACATCCTGAGAGGGGAAGAAAAAGGCAATAAATTATTTTTCACATACTTCCCACATTCCTATACTGTTTTAATAGAGGAATTCCTCTTTGATGTTTGAAACAGCTTTTATATGCAAATGTTAAAAAGTAAGTATTTCAGTTGGTTAAATACCAAGGATTCACATCGAAGTAAAAATGCAAATAATTCTATGCAGCTAAAATGTGATAAAACACTTACTGCCCACTGTCCCAGTAAGTTCACCAAGAAGTTGCCACTGAAACGAACAGACAACATCTGGGAAATGACGTAGAGGTTTGACACTAAGGCAGACTGCAGAATGATGGGAATGTTGGAGGTATAGAACAGCTTGATGGGATAGCTGCTGTACTGCCCACGGTATCGCGCAGACTTGATGGGTAAATCCACTCGGAATCCCTGTGGGAAACAAAACAAATGCACACAAATGTTCACTTCTGAGACACAAGGTATTCCCAGTATGCCCCAAAGCTATTTCTTACCATGTAGCTCTTGCTAGATAAATAAGGACTGCAAGATCTGAGATAATAAAGCCCAAAGGCCTTTCTGCTACAGTCTGGAATACAGATTTTTAAGGATTTAAAAGTATTACTGCTTGGTTGTATTACATTCTTTCCACATAAACATGGTTTCTCATCTGCTAACTGGTACTCCTGTAAAATACATTTTATAAATCAGGGCTTGAGAAAAGCCTGTAATGGCTTCCAACTGAACAAGGCAGTTACCAGCAGGCTCTTGTGTAGTTTTCTGGGGCAAGATCTTTTGAGTCGACCCAAGAAAAGCCAAATGAACTTGAAAATCTGGTAGTTTTGGGGGTTTTTCCCCCCAAAACTCAGATTTAATAACTGAAAAAAAAATTTACAAAACCACATTTTAGTCTCCCCCACCCCCAAAATCTCAGTATGGATCCTCCTTTAGTGTCCATTTTAATAGATACATAGATTTAAAAAGAAACACTAATTGTTTCAAGAAAATTAGGGAAAAATCAATAAGCTACACATCCCAAAGAAGCAAAGTTCTCCAGCTCTGTCTAAAAGTAATCTTTTCAGTCAGTGATGAATATTAAGAATATTATTGGTGTGATGCAACCACTGCAGTACCAGAATCCATTTTATTAAAAATATTCTCATCAAGTGTATGGCATTCCACAGAATGTGAGTTTACACACTGATTGCAAGAAGGCCAGGCTGTAAAAATTTATGGCTTTACTGTCACAGAGGTAATAGTTACTGAAATAACAACACTGGAATAAAAAGAGTTCATTACTCTAAGATATTTCAGCTACTCTAGCTTAAACCTTCTCATCTTTTCCCAATGACTGCAGCATCCAGGGTCCACATGCAGTTCTACCTCTGCAGAGCTGCTCTGAGGACTTTTACCTGGAAATAGATGACTACAGCAAACACAAACACTGTAGCAATCAGGTTCATGAGATTGGGCAGATTCTGTCGGTAAAAAGCTTCCCGCAAAGCCCGGACTTTGTCAGTTCGTGTGGCCAGGAGATGGAATAATGCAATCACAGCACCCTCAAACTCTGTTCCTGCATGAAGCAAGAAAATGGAAGAAAGGTTAATCTCCAAATTAAAAACATTTTTTAAAAGAAGTATCTTTCTTTTGGAAATGTATGACAAACAGAAAATCTGATACGATAGGACATGGATCCTGTTATAACAAATATGTCACAACATAGGACTCTTTTTTAGGTTATGAAATGTAGAATGATCTAAAAAAACATTATTCCTGGTTAGAAAAACAAAAAAAAAGCCAACAAAAACATCAAAGTCACACACATGAAAGAATACTCTCTTCCTTTCTTTTCTGGGAG